TTCATGGCCTCCACTCTCACCCTGGTAGACTCTTGGTCTAACTCCGCTTGAAGTGCACGCCTCGAGCTGACGGTCTGTCCGAGTCTAAACAAAGGGCGCAACAACAAGAAGTGATAGTAAAGTGAGCATTCCTCATACATATAAAGTCATAAAAAAAATCCTCTGTTCCATGCCTGTCTCAAAAAATGTTCCAAGTGGGTTGCTATCACCTCTTTCCAGGGTCAACCGTCATCTGAGGAACCCATTGGCAAATGTTGAATATGGCTTACTTTGTACCATGGCATCCCAATCTAAGGTCCAATCTGGAGCAAACCATCCAGCTTCTGTAAGCCAGCATCAGCCTGGAATGAGACACGGGGGCCCCAAACTCCAATGAACAGCCTGCTCAACAAACGCCTGGTAGATCCGGATGTTTGTCACATCATATATATATATATGTATGTGTGCTACTGCCCCAAGACCAATCCTTTTGCATCGTGTTCAGGGTTGTAATCACGGAGACGAGTCAGCACATCCAAGTGACATGTGAGGTCGGTCCAAAATTCCCTACATCTGGGTGCGGTCATCAGGACAGGGCATCGGGCTTGGGTTTTCCTCATCGGTTTCCAATGTTTGGTGAATCTCACTAACATACCGTATGTTTCCAAGCAAAAGTATAGTCATGGACATGGCGAAGCAACGCACAGCAGAGCATACAACCTTTCACAAGTTCAAGGACCTCACACACATATGCAGCTGCTAGTTCCTTTCTCTTGCGCATGTCATTTGAACCCTAAAATCTGCTCTCGAGTGGGCATGTCCCTTGATCGGGTGTCTGGAAGTCACTCCGCGGCATCGGTTAGGGCATCGGTTAGGCATCGGTCTATACACGCTGGTGAAAAACAGAAAACTTGCCAGTAGTAGTAGTCGTCGTTGTCGTCGTTGTCATAGTGGTAGTGGTAGTGGTAGTGGTACGAGTAGTGGTAGTGGTAGTGGCAGTGGTAGTGGTAATGGTAGTCGTAGTAGTAGTCGTAGTAGTAGTAGTAGTAGTCGTAGGTAGTAGTAGTAGTAGTAGTAGTAGTAGTAGTAGTAGTAGTAGTAGTAGT